ATAGATAAACCATAAATATTTCGTAAAAGTAATTTAAATAAATCATAAATTCTCTATAAACCATAAATATTGAAGTCCGTAAAACATATCTTAAACATAATTAATTCATGAAATATGAAATGCATGCAAGCCTAATATTTTATAAAAACATGCAAATTGAGAAGCGGTTTACTTATAGATATTCCACTAGCAGGGAGCCGATAGAACTAGGGAGGACAGGATCACTTCTGACCAACACACTTAAACACAAATACGGATTCGAATTCGGCATGTCGAAAAACCTAAAGAGGAACCTCGGGTTCCCCCATAAGCCATAGCACGCGCCGCCATGGGGCGGTGACTCGGGTCACCACGCACCAAGATGGGGTCGTTGAAAAATTTGCCAGCATAGTGCCTCTAGTGGAGGCACGTGCACTCAACACACCGACCCATGACAACTCCACGCACAGCGAGTACGCTTGTACTCCCCTTCTTTGAATTTCTGGAATTTTTCCAGATTTTTCCACCAACTTCAAGAGCTTATTCCGAGCTCGATACAATCCCAAATTGAGTGATTCAAAAGCCAAAATGTAATTTGGAATGCGGAGAAAAGATTCATACCCTTAGAAGGCTCAACAAAAATTGGAGCTAGCCGGAGAAGTGGCTAGAAGGTGGCCAAACAACCACAATTTCGAAATTCCATATTTTGCACACTGACTTCACTTGTGTTTTCCGAGTTCCTACACCAACAAACCCACCCCAAACCTTACTAATTGTGAACCTTGACACAATCTACAATGATAGGGACCAATTTCAAGGCTTACATTCGCCGGAAAAAAAAAAGGGTTGCATAGTGAAGGGGTCGATATGCACAATAAGGAAGAAAGAATCCAATGGTGGTCTCGATTCCGTCTAGGCTTCGTGGTGATGGTTCACACCAGAGAAATAAGGTGGTCGTGGTGGTGATTTTTAGTTATACGAAGAGGAAAGGGTAGAGAGAGTAGGGAACGGGAAGGAGGGAGAGAAATGAGAGGGAGGAAGTGAGAGATAAAGAAAAAGAAGGGAAAAAAATAAGAAATAAGAGAGGGCGAGAGTCTCGGGACAGAAAGGAACACCCCAGAAAATAGGGGTAATCCTGCCCCGTGTCACCCCATGAGTGGCCCATGATGGAGAAATATCTTTAATTGTGAAATTACCAAAATGCCCTTGACGTTCAAAAATTCGTAGAAACTTCATTTTAGCTCCGAATTTGATTATGTTCATGCCTACGTGTTCGTATCGACGAATGCTACCCGAATAAATTAAAAGAAAATTCCTACATGTCAAAGAGCAAAAGTCAACGAAAGTCAAAGCTTTCATCATTGGGGGTATTTTCATAAATTTAACTAATTAAAACGTAAAATTTAAGACAGGTTGTTACAATCTATCCCCTTAAGAAAATTTCTTCCTCGAAATTTGAAATAACTTGCTATACGTAAAAATACTAAAATATATATATAAAGAATAAATCAAGTTAGAGCGGTTGCATAAAAGAGAATCTCATTCCGTCGCGATCGGATTGCAATGATTTCTCTTTCATGCCTCCAAGCTCATACCTTCTTCCTTCCTCAATATAATAGTATAATATAATACTTATATGAAAATATAAAATAAAATAAATACATATGTAACAACGTAAGGTCAAAAATTTATATGTATAATAAGGTGATGTCAAAATAAATATATATAACATAGAATTCAAATACTTGTACTGAATTTAAAATCGAAAGTGGAAACGATTCACCCAAAGATTTTTAACGTCAAAAATACATATATATTTAATAATAATGTAAGTTAAAAATACTTATACTGAAAATTAAAACCAAAAATGAAAATGGGTCTCGCCCAAGCATTCGAAAAGTCACGTACTCTGAGAATGTGTGTGCCTTGAGTCGAATCCTAACCATAATTAATTAGTAACTACTATCGTAGACAGGCCGACTTGCCCATTTGCTTCGCGAATCCAGCAAATAAGCCACTGATATTACAGTCTACAGCCTGTAGTGTCGATAACTCATTGTTGTCTCGGTAAGCAAGTAAGAAGTTCCTGAGGGTGCCAAAATACCATTTTGCCCCTCAATGTGAGAATGTGCCTAGATAGTTCGATTCATGCCTTGATCGCGCTCCCACACTCCCCCAAAGCGCACCAATTAGAGCTATTAGAAATGCTTTGACATCCATGTACACCCAAACAATAAAGTCCTTGGAGTGAAATAGTTGAAAGATGTGTAAAGGCGAACACATGTTGTGAAATGTTCATTCGTGATCACTCTCCTGATCGAGGGATACAAGATATAAAAACCTAAAATTAAAGGGACCATAACTCTGACCACTTCCTTCGAATGACAGTTTTCATTTCGAGCCACACACAGAAACTGGTGCCAAACTCGCCAGACTCAAAACCTACATTTCTACCTTCACTAATTCCATGCTAAAAGACAGCTCAATCCTCAAGACCACTTAGAATTCTTCCCGGTAAGTTTGGTAAGCTTGTGAAAAGGTTATGCTCCTAATGTTCCTAGAAGAATCGATATGAAATTAGGTACACATTTCATCCAAGTCGATCCATCGTGAATTCCTCACTGATTTGGCAAGAAACCATGTCAAGAAGGCTAAAAGAACACTCAAGAGTTTAAGGGTCAAAACAAGTCCATTAAATCCAGAGTACAAGATATCAAGATTGAATATATAACTCTGATGCTTGAATACGTGTAAGTACCTAACTTGGTTATGTGGTAGTAGTTTGAAGTTGTTGAACGCTAACTCGACTTGAACGGTAGTCTAATGAAATTGATGAACGAAAACCTAGACTTTCCCCAAACCAATATTCACAACATCTTGCTACAACAATAACTCCGGGAATATTCAATCACTAGTGGTGACGATTCGCTGGATAAGGTATTGATTAGGCAATTGAAGGACTGATGATCTTAATTAAAAACTTCAACATCTGAGTGGTTCTCCTGGACAGTCTGACTTCTTCAAAAATGATACAAAGAACAAAAGAGTGACCCAAGAATGACTAAACATCTTTTAGGACCAAGAAGTGATTATGGAATTACAAACAAAGCTGATGCGGACCAAAATGTCTGAGAGTCAGAGAAATTCCAAGAATACGGGATTCTACCAAAAGGTTCAAGGTATAGTCCTCATGGACTGATAGATAGTACGCTTAGTGAGTTGGTCGACAAACACTAAATCATCACCATAGGCTCCACGGAGAGGTATCATTAGATTTTCAAGCCACGATGATAGCCATTGACACTAGGTCATAGATAGGATGGTTCACATCTTGTGGTCCCAACCATCAAAAGGCATAAGCGTTACTGGATCATGCTGCATCAGTGCCCAGCTACACATTCGGTAAAACATCACCATAAAATTCGAAGTTGATCGACATCATCGAAAGGTGTAAGAAAATAAAATAATGATTGGGTGTGACAACACTTCAATTGTCGGAAATTTCGTTCACACTCATCATCTCAAACAAAACTGGTTTACTTTCTTGCCCAAAATGGGAATAAGATCATGGTTAAAGAATCGTTGACAACTGTCAATGGAAATCGACAAGATCGATGGTATTTCATAATTCAAGACACTCGAGAGGATTTTTTATTTCCAATCGTCATAACCTTGGATTTGGTAAGAATATCCTTTGCTAGTTTCCCAAGAAAGGTATGTAATCTAAGCAAGTTTGACATTTGCAGAATTTGGTATAAAGCTAGATGTTGATGTTTTGTAAGTTTGACCTCGTTGTTGGAGTAGACAAGAATGTTATTGATAGGACAATCTTGAATCCATTGGAAAATGCGTGGAATACTTGATCGTTAGATTCATAAGCATCGTCGGAACATTCGTCAACTTATTAAAAAGCAATGCAATCACTGAGAATTCTTCTATTGGTCCACACGAATTCCCTCAGTGGAAACTACAAGCTCCAGAAAATTGATTCGGTCTACCTAATATGAATTTAACACCTAAGAATATCTCCAAAGGAGATGTCAAAAAGTCCACATCAGCAATAACGGTAAAAAAAGATATCACTAGTGTTTTTCAACCGAAATGCCAATTCTTGTTTGGCATGAGATGGAAGGGCGGCAGACGAAGTTGTTGTCAATTTGACAGCAGCTTTAAATCTATTTTTAGTAATTAATAAATGCTTTTCATAATTTTTGTACTTATCTTTTGTTTTAAAATACTAATTACAACTATGAAAAGTAAATAATGTAATAAATAATAGTTTAAATTTGAAATATCGGTCGAAAACAAAATATAAAAAAGATCAATATGTCACATAAGCCTTCAAATTTAAATTTTACGATTAAAATTTAACATCTCGATGTTCTAAACCCTTTATTGTCGACCGCCAACTTGAATCCATATCAAACGAATTGATATGGCTTAATTTCAAGTCTATATCAAAGATTTCGCATATCAGGACTTGGGAGAGCAACTCTCTTACCAAACTATGGAGGTTCCTTCATTCATTTTTCCGGTGAAAACTGAAGCCGAGCCTGCATTAAGCTCTTAGTTCTGGCTGTGATTCCGTACAGGATTAGATCTTGCGTCGGAATCGTGTAAGAGATACTGCTCTTTACCCAAAGGTTATATCCAGGTTTTAACCGGAATATTTTCGCACTCTCTAGATTCTTTGGATTGACCGGTTTGTATTGATCATATGTTTCATGTCTAGGTGAACTCCTTAATCTGACGACTCTTTAAGGCCCGTTTGGTGGGCAAGATTGGATTGGCAAGAATGGATTACATAACCCAAGTGTATAATTAGGTTACATAACCCATCATATTTTCCCTTAATTCAAATTTATAGCCAATCCAGTCCATGTTTCAATTTGTCTCACCAAACATTGACTAGACTACAAGTCCAATTTAATTGGAAATAATCCATCCCATCCTGTCCACCAGACGGGGCCTAAAGTTTAACAGGGCTACATGTTTAAGATTTCAATCAGGAACAAATCAAATACAAATAAACTGGGCCAAAGTATATAAGAAATAAAAAATTGACCTTCCGGTTAAAACAAATATTTGAAAATCTACAAGTTGTAATTTATGCCACAATTCAACAACACTGAAGGTAAAAGTAGCCTGCAATCTTCCCCTCCATATCAAGCTCTCGTAGCGTGAAACGCGAGCCTCTGCTTGTATTATTATGTGTATAGAGTATCAGTACGACTGTACGGGTGTTGAAAAGTTTTGGGAACCTTTCTCCGGAGCTAAAATGTTAGGTTCCCTCTTCATCCATGGTATAAACTGGTATTTGCCACACCTTGGTGTTCTTCTTTCGGTCATCAGTAAGACTGAAATCTGTGTCATCTTCTTTAAATGTGTTGATGAACGTTTTAGCACCTGTCATGATAAGCCTCTCAATCATGAACAACTGGTAGTTATTCTCAATCACAGGCTCCAAGATGTGGCTATAGTTTGACGAATACGCCAATTTGTATCTGCATATATTTACATGGTCAGAAACGAGGTCAGCAACAACTTTGTATGACAAATTTAACCCCTTTAACATTCTTTCAGAGCCAAAGGACCTTCAAGTTAAGGATAGCACAATCCGAAAAATAGTCAAATCATATAGAAACTGTATACCCCACTGGAGAGTTGAGACTAATAATAAGTAAATAAATTCTCTGAGCTTCCTAGTAAAGTAAGCACATGAAAATTGAGGATTCCATAGCAAATATTGAACGGTAACAGGAGATTAACGTGAAGTTTATTAGACAGAACCAGCATTAGATGACTTCAGAGGTCATAGTGTATGCGTAGATCAAACACATTATTCATTCTGTCATGAATGTTCACAACTCCAGTATCAAATAATTACAAATGTCTTTTGGCTTGACTACTTCAGTATTAGCTAATCCATAAGATCCTTCCAAATGCATTGTAATTACTAAACCTGAATCCTACACATTTTCAGCCAATGGTACTTAGATTTCATACTGAACCCAGCAGTAACCAAGGGATTAAGTTAAACGATAACTAGCCAGAACAAATAACTGAAAGTTTGACACAGCACAAGAGAGCTCTGAGCTGTCCTTAACACGTTAGCATGACAAATAGTTCGTTTTAGCACAATGAACACGGGATTTCATCTCTAAAGCAGATGGTGAAAAAAACCTGAACATGCCTGAGGACTTACCTGACTGAGAGAAGTGAAAAAAAACCCGGTGTCCTTTCATTTGAAGCAATATAAAGAGTTCGTCCAGATGGGACCCATTTTTCAATTCTGTGGAGAATAAACTCGGGGTGAGTATCCCTGTCCACATGAGGATGCAGTGTCCTGTTGATGCCAAACCTGTCCTTCCTGGTCTTTATTATATCACCACGACGAACATGAATGGCATCATAATCACCAAGGAGTTCCTTAATCTGTGGAATGATTTGGTCAAAGTCAGTAACAGCACTGACATGCAGAGGAAATAATTCAAGGGGAAACAGAAGGGCCTAGGGTAATTCTGCAGTATAATTAATGCATAACCCTTTTTCTTAAAAGTCAAAATCCTATCCCAAATTGATTATATACTACATGTGACAAATTTCCAAACATAAAAGAAAAATTCAAATTCAAACCGAGGTTTCGAGACATCCTGTCCTAGCTAATTACTCGAGGTGTTTGTCATACGAGTTACATGAAAATTCAAAACGACATTGGACCCATTTCAGCTATTTAGCCCGCCCAGATCTCACAGGCATCTTTGTATGTCATTATCAAATGTCCCCTATGCCATCCATATTTACCATGATTCTTGTATGTTTTTTAACCATGAATTGTATTATTCTGATATTTTGTTCAGTTATCAGCCCTTTACTATTATGAATTATTATGTAACCGGAAAAAAAATTATTACGCAATGGTTCATTATTACGTATGTTCAGATTTTGAGTGTTACAAAAACTTTCATTCAAGACAATTAACTATTGTTTACATGTAATTCAATTGTATTAATCCATTCCAAGTTCCAAAGCATCTACATAGAAGAAGCTCAGACAGTCAGTGGAGATGAGACATAATGAAGAGACCAGATAAAGTTCTGATAAAATTCCACAGACCAAGTTGGTAACGACAATGTAGGCAGATCAATCCACAATTGAGTAGGCAATCAAATATATGGAGACTTTGGAAACAGAAACTTTGAGGGAGGGTTGGCCAAAAACATCTCGAGTTTTAGTTATAATAGTGACTGGGAAGCTACTAGGATATGATTATAGATGACATATATATAACTTAGAGCATCTCCAAAGGAGATGTCAAAATTGCCACATAGGCATACAACAGTAAAAAATGGCAGCAAACTCTCTCCAAACGAGCCTTCAGTTTCTTAGGTGGCGCTGAGTCATTTGAAGGCAAAGCCTTTTGCTGTCAAATTTGACAGCAGATGTCAAATTTATTAAATGATATTTTAATAAATGAATATAATATATAATAAATGTTGTTATATTTTTGAAATATTTGATTGGTTGCTTTAATCATTGGACTCCACAAAAAGATAAAAAATTTATTAAATGACATTATTATTTGACATATCTGGTGGAGCAAAATATTGTACAAAATGTCAAATTGCAACATAAGCTATCAACTATCATTTTGATGTTTAAAATTTGACATCTCCTTTGGAGATGCTCTTAGACTCGTATACAATAAGCAAACAGATGAGAGAGCAACTGTATGGAAGCATTAAACAATAGTCAGCTATGGAATTTAAACTTGGTGGGATCCATTATAATACATACCTCATCAGCTGCATTCCTTAGCTTCTTTGCCACCATTGAGGGAAGAAAGGAGTGAGGCAAAATTATAGCACTACTATTTTTTCGGTCCTTGCACTCCATAAACCTATATGGCTGCCATTATGAATTCCTCAAACAACTAAAATTGATATTCTAATATTCATGAAACTTAACTAAAGAGACACATCTTGGTTATTTCCTAACTAAAAGAAATAGACTAAGTTCCATCCAACAACCTGAATGGAGACTTTCAAAACTTTCAACCAAGTGAAACCGATATTCAATTGCATATTAACCCAAATCCTGTCTTGGCATTGGAACTCAGTTGTTTTTCAGTCAAGGAACTCAGATATTTAATAAAACTAGAGGTATCAAGTAACAACCAGTGCTTTGGATGCCGTTTCTGAGGCGGGGGTCAAGACAAGTTATCAGTAAATTGCCTCAGGCGTTGAGATGTATAGCAGATTGCAGGGTGCAAGGCACTGCAACTTCCAGAGTCTGCAACAGCGGCCGACGTAAAACCCATGGAAAGAAGACAAGGAATCCAATACCTTTTTTGTTTTCTTTGTGGTACTGTTTTTAAAGCTATATAACACCATGTTCTTAAGTCATCTAGGTTACTTTATGAAACAACCCGTTTCATTTATATGCCGAGTTTATAGACCAAAATTCTGCAGGTTGGTTTTCAGCAAAATCGTTGCAGTTTTTGTTTATTCCCTTTAGACTCCCCAACAGCTTGTTCTTCCCCACAACTCAGCCCCAAATCAAATTTTCATAACCATGATTTCTTCCCAAAGACACAAACCAGCCTCCTAAAGTCGAATCTCCCGAATTCATTCTCTCTCTAGTTCTCTTTTCTATTTAGCGCTCTCTTTTTAATTATTGATATTACATAAAAACTTTTGAATTAAATAACTTATGTCTCGAGAGGCTTAAGCCTCGCTTTCTGGACCACAAATGCCTTGCCACACCTTTGAAAAAATTAGTAACACAAGGCTATGGGTAATGGGTATCACAAACCTAACAACTTTATTTGGGCCATTATCATTCGAAGTGGAGAATATATCTACAAAAATTGAAATTGATCCGGAGCCTATATTTAGGAGTTATAATTTAAACAAATACCAGAATTAATCTTTCTTCCCAAAATATGTTTGTCAACTATTATCTCGACAAGTCGACCGACACCCACACTTGCAACACAAGTAGAGGTTTTAATGCTTCATCACCACCGAAGAAGCCAATCCTAAAGCTTTTAACAAAAAGGAAAATGAAATAAAATTTTACCATGAGAGAGGGCTTGCAGTTCTGTTTATGATCAAAAGATTTGAGAAACGACTGTTTTCTTTAAGATCAACACGACTAACTCCTTCCACATGAGCAGCTCCTCTAGCTTCCAACTTCATACTTGTTTCCCCTACCTGATACCACTTTTTTGAATTGTCTAAAATTACTGGTACAGTGCCCGATATGAGATCCATATCATACAAAGATTCCATGGAACAAGAGTTTGCTGCCCATCTAACAAATGAAATGAGGCCCCTTCAGATTGTATGCTATATGTGTTTTGATAAACCAAACAAGTACATACAAAAAGGATATTGAGGTAAAGTACATATCTCAACCTACACACTTACAGATGTAATATGTTTTATTTGTGAGAAAATTGCAAACTTTAAGCACGGAAATGGCATATTTTTTGCAACAAGTAGCAGTAATATTATTCCACAGTTAAAGGGCATTCTCTTAGCAGTAAAACTATTCCACAGTTAAAGGGCATTCTCTTGAAACCCAACTAAGAGGTAGAAACTTACCTTTCTTCTGAAATTCCATCATTTGAGTGATGAAGGATTGCTTTCTTATTGTGCATTGGGTTGAGACACATTCTCGAAGGCATTACAAAAGTTCTGCAAACAACAAGTAAATTAATACACAATGTTGCATAAAATATACTGTGTTGGTACTTTATTAATTAGGTGGTAAATTTCATGGAAACTACTAGTTTTGTGATTATTATGCTTAATCACATATTACAAGGAACCATAACATCAACATCAACCAGTTCGATGTAACAGAAGAATACAGTTCATAAAAAAGAAATCCAAAATTCCCTGTTGCACAAAACAATAACAGCTAAATCTTCCAAAAAATAAAAAATCTATATGATCTACAAGGTCACAAACTTTCCAGATCTAAAATGCTAACCTAGAAGTTCTCCCCATTTAACTGGTTCTTATGATATCATATATGATCTACAATTCAGTGTCTCCCACAAATCTTCCAGCAACCAAACACATCATAAACCCCAAACCAGAACAAAAACAAACTCAATGATTTTAGAACCTTAAAACGTACCTCTGAAGGAACATGGCCTCTTCAAGAGCACACCTAAGGCTGGACTCCTGGTGGCCCAATCCTGCACAAGACTTGCAGTGTTTTCCAGGGCAATCAATTCTGTCACCCCAGTAGAGGTATTTCTCATGGCCACTTTGGTGGTTTTGGCTCTTGTACTTGTCTTCGGGCATGCTTTCTAGGATTTTTGGAGAGGATATATAGAACCCACTAGTGGATATGAGAGAGGAAAAGAGGAAGAGGAGTGTAATGGCAGCTATGCAGATGGCAAGGAATATGATTGGGGAACTAGGTCCTGGTTTGGACTTTTGGGTTCTAGGAAATGCCATTAGAATTGACTAATGGCGGAGCCAAGATAGTTAGTTGGGGTGGCTACACCTCCAATCTAAACATAACCTTTCTTCGTTTTTCAAGAATATGGACTCTTGCGTGCAGATATAATCCAAGCTATACGACTCTTCACAGAGAGATAACCAGTAATCAGCTTCCTTTGGTAAAACCAAGGACAACAGAATCGCTAGCCTGCACAGAGGAAGAGAATTAGCACACAAACTAGCACAGCAATGACATAATTATTTGACAACCTTTTAATATTTGGAGAGAGATAGAGCATGAGTGGAGCAAAAAGTAAACACATCCTTCGAGAACTCTACATGAAATGAAATAGAGTTACTCACAGCAATTGTAAAAAGGATATATCCTGGCCGGTAGTCTATCCTATCACAAAGTACAATAATCCTAGAGCAGCAAGGAAGAGAGAGAGAGAAAGAGATTTGGTATGTACATAATTCATTTCATTTCGTGTTTTGCTCCTACACAGACCATATGGACTAGGAAAAGAGGTGTGGATGATTATTTTGGAGTCCGGGTGCATGTATAGTGAGGATACGTATTGAATGTGAATGCAATTAAATGGCTGAGATGAATTTATACTTTAAAAGAGAATGGTAAAATCTAATTTAAAAATTAAAATAAACTTAAGAAGAATGGTATATAACTCATTTCAATTCATTGATATAGTGTCGTACTCATACTTGTGCTCCCTCATTTCATTTCATTCCATCGTTTGGGCTCTCTCCCATTTAATACCAAGAAGAGCGAAGGGTGCAAAAAAAGAAAAAGGAACACCATATCCCGGGTTCGGCCTAAAATCAATCTCTATTGCTCATACACACCTCAATTCCTCTGAACCTTTGCCGACCAGAAGGTTGATGTCTACTCTGCACTTGTGTGACTGCATCCATCCATAAGTGGACAAGAGAAATTCCAGACATACCAATTTGACCATTTCCACAATACAAACGCAAACTCCGTTTTCTCAACAAAATTGACAAGTCATGTAAGCATTCGTTTCAGGATGATGCCAGACACACTGCAATATGTATGCACCAACTTGGGGAAGCCAGCCAACACCGAAAACCAAATAGCACAGAAAAATTTATCAACTTGTAGTTGCAGGTGTTATACTAGATTGGCGTTTTTTAGGTTTTGAATCCAAAATTTTGTAGCGGAAGAGCAAAATTGTCTGTCAACTAAAACCGGAAAGAAAATAAAATTTGTTCAAAGAGAAACGTGGATCCAATGATTCCTTTCATTTCACCAGAAAATAATAATAATAATAATAATAATCTAAGTAAGGTGGATTCCTAATTTCCTAACCTCCATCTAGTATCCATACATTTATAGAAAAAGCAGTCATGTATTCTAAATTATGAAATTGTAGGAAAATAGGAAGAAGAAGAAGAAAGGATGATACCTTTTGTAAATTGGCAAGGAAACCAAGATTAGTTTTGGGTTGGAAGTTGGAATTGTCTGCCGAGCTCCCCCAACTGTGAGACTGAGACTGGGACTGTGGGGGGACTGCGAGAGAGAGAGAGAGAGAGTGGAAGAATTGGAGATTGCTCTTCTTCTCGATTGATGAAAAATGGATTGCTTGCTGGGTTCAGTTTCGTCCAGGATGAGATTGAGAGAGTAAGATTGAAGGAGGCGAAGCGAGCTGTAGGAGGAGAGGAGACGCAATTTCTTTCCAACAAGTGGGGGAGGGAGCTTTGTCGGAGAAAGATCTAGAGAGAAAAAAAAATTTCAAATAATAACGGGGGCAAATCACGATTAATAAATATTTTTTCAATTTATGTAATTAAAATCACATTATTTATTTTAAATCCTACCAATATAACTCTCAACCATTCACCACCATCACCAATGTTGTTGCCATCATTAACATCCTCTCACTATTGATGTTACCATCACCACCATCTCCGCCGTTGTTGCCACCATCCACCTCTACAACCACACCATGCCTTCCATAATTGCAACCTCTACAACCCCAACCACTGTACCCTAATATTGGCACCACCACCACCATAGTCACCATTGTTGTTGCTATCACCATAACCGTTGCCGTCTATTAGTGTCAAAACTCGAACAGAGCATGAGTGGATTCAACACTTATTTGCTCCGAGTGTTGCTTTCAGTCGCAGTGCCACGAGATGGCTTGAAAGAAAAAGAGAATAGGTGTCCCACTGTTGGAGACTGCCAACAAACAATAGTGTGTTTAGAATTATATTGTGTTTGCGTGTAGATCTGACTTCTTAACCATATGATTGTGCTTTCGAATGAAACGCTGGTTCGATTAAGCTCCTTTTATGTCTGAGGGAACAAGGACTTGAAATCTAATGCAAAATAAGTGCTTGCCTAAGTTGGAATTGAAAATAAAAGTAGAAATAGAAACTAGAAATTGAATATAATCATTTCGTGATGAAATCAAGATCACAAACACTTACATGAGCAATTCAAAGTTGATAAGCTAGTCTAAATAACTACAAAGTACATAAACTTGAAAACTTAAAGAAAGTAGTAACCTTTAGCAAGACTCAGGTCGTGTAAGGCAGAATAATGCTTGAGGAGTCCATTGATATCATTGATGTCAAACTGGACGAATGGGAAAACATTTTCTTAAAGAGGTGATCAAGGTTGGTAGGAATGTTCTTCAACAGAATCATACCACGAGGTGGCAAAGCTATAAAAGTTTTAGATCTCATGGATCGTATGTAGTGTTTACTTTCAAGAAAGCTTAGATTTGTAGCCGAAGAGATGAGAGAGTTAATGAAAAGCAGTTGGGTTGATTGAAGAATCACTGGAGCTTTGAATAATCATATAGATTGAGCTTGAAGGCATGTGGTCCTATTTATAGGCGGTTGGGGAAAAGCAACCTCGGTTGTATAGTTAAGCTGGAGCAGTGGTAAATCGATCATTTGATATTGACAACAACTACAATTCTTGGTTGGTGTCCTTATGCTGAGATTTATGGCGCATCATACAATTGTTATGGTAATATCAGTGTTCTGGTATAGCGTCCCTCGTTCTTTAAAAAGGCAAGAGACTCTCAGGTCTGGTCGTCGATGTGGCAGAAGCGCTTTGGGGAGGGTTAGGTTCAAGTCCTCAGACGGTTGCAGAGTAGTGAGGAGCGGTCGTCCGAGCCTTAGAGAATTACCTTAAGTTGGGATTTGAAGTTGGTGGGCTGTTGTCGTAGGACTTTGCGTAAATAAAAATGGAGCGGCCCCATAGCAAAATTTATTTTATTCATGGTCTAAACACCGTCGTTGCCACCAACCCTAAAACCACCAACATTATACAATCACCACTATCATTGCCACAACAACACCACTACAACTATCGTTGCCACCGCCCCTAGTACTATTGCTACCCCCTACACCACCAACCATCACACCCTACTATTGGCACCACCAACATGCCCCACCAATGAGGCTGCCATTACCACCACAACTATTATTGACACTACCCGGACTACCATGTCCATAGTTGTCATATACATAACTATAGCACTTTTACATTAAAATTTATCAAACACTTTTACATTGCTTTTCTATCACACCACGACCCGCGAATAAGGACTATTCACAAGTTAGGATGTGAGCCATATCTTAGCTATAGAAGTAGAATCTATAACCAAGACATGATGATGAAAATTAAAATAAAATTGATGTAACTGAAATACAATACCTGTATAACACTAATAACTTTTACATAATAAACGCTTGAGTGTAATACTTAAAATTTATCAAATATACAGCGGAATAAAAATTTGCAATGATCACTAGTGCACAGATTAGGTTCTCAAAATGAAACAAGTATCTACCAAACAATAATTAAAATGTAGTACTTCTTGCAAATACATAAAATATATGCAAATGAGATGTATGAATGTACTTACTTCCTTCTAAACTCGCTAACAGATACCTACTATACCCAAGCATGTATGTCGCATACTATACTTATACCACTTAATTCCAAATACCTTACAATATGAGTTAATACTCGTTCATCCCTTAAGCCCAATTTTCATAATTTAATTCTCAAATTCCACTCTATTATATAGGCACTTCCACCCCCCCCCCCCCTCCTCCAATTGTATACTCAAGCCCTTCCCTCGACGCTTGACATATACAAGGTTCCATTATTTTATATCCAAGACATCCCTTGAATATATTCACAACTCCACCATCAATCATTTTAAAAAAAATTCCAAACGAGCTCTTATTTATTATTTTTATGTTATTTACCAGTTAAAGCAATAATTGCCCTTTTACTCATTTCCTAAAAACTTGCCAAGAAAGGCAAAGGGTAAAAGAGTAGTCATGCTTAATTTATTTCTTCCAAAGGGAAATCCCACATTTTGGAGAAATTATTTGACAAAATAATTTGAACAAGATCACAGGAGGATTTTATTAACAAAACTAAATTGACAAAGACCACAAAACTCACTTCAGTTTACAACAGGACAGCTTTGTAATCTGTAAGGGTAATCCTACACACATTCTGTGATCTACTGTCTCTCACTTGTACAACCCTCCTCTAAGCTTCAACGGCACCAATCATGGAGATGAGAATCAAGGAAACGGAAGGCCGCGGAGGGGAAAAGAAAAGAAGAGCAAATGACATGAGTATGTGCTGCAGATCCTCATAAAATGAACCTCTCGAATTAAGTACACATTTTGTCCCCTAGGGACATTCGAGGTCATCGGGAGTAAGGATGGAGGAATCAAACTGCATGTACTAGTTTACGCCTTCTGAAATGAGCGCGAAGAAACTCCATGTAGTAGTCTAACAAACCCTAGAAAACTGAGCTTTCCATCAGAGTGTCTTATCCAGTCCTGGAGAACGACATGAACTGGTACTGATGGGCTAAGTCCCAATTCCTGATAAAGTTCAATTTGTAGGGAGAATTCAGTTAGCATGAAGATGGTTTTTATATTTTATTGATTGGGAGAGAGCATACCGAAGCAAGTTCCTCTATCATTATTGGTCTATTTCCATCCTTCTCAAACAGCTCGTATGCTCGCCTTGCATGTTGCTCCCAGCTCTCCATCCCTTCCAGCTGATGCACACTTATGGCAGATGCACAAAATTCTTCGAAATCCAGCTTTCTATACCGAAGAGAACTGATCTGCATGAAACACATATACGACTGCACACTTAGCTACAATTATTATTTTACTTGACTGGGGAGGCATAGTTTTGATGAGAAACTAAAGAATATGCACACTTAGCAACGTTACCATGTTGACGTAATCTAGAACCCGCGAATCCTTCATGGCATCAGTGGAGTTCCTTGTTACACCCTGCTGACATACCAATGTTACTTGAAATGACTTCAGAGATGATTAAATAATAGAAAGCCAAGTAAAGAAAAAGTGCTAACTGTCTTGAAGTTCTGCATAGTGATGAATCCACTTTTGTTTGGCCCTAACAATGTAAATTGGTTCCGGAGATAAGCCAGCTGCGCTACACTTAACGTCTTTGCAAGAGTCTGTCACAATATAAAAACTTATTCATTCCATTTGTCATTGCTTTGAGAAGTGTCAGATATTTACACTAATGACATAAGTTGAGATAGATATGAAGCAATTATTTCAAAAAACCGATTCTCTGAGATTCGATTTTTCTTTTAGTTGTTCCTCACTTTCTCTTTTAAAGTCAGCCCTGACAACCGGTATAATGTTTAGGTTGTCAGACTTGACTGTTTAGACTAATTCAAAACCTAGAATAGAATAGGGGTTCAAATCAAGAAAAAAGTGCAAGAGCAACTGCCAAACCTAAGAGACACCATGAGAGACACTCAAATAGTATTCACGAAACGAAAAAGATGAAAAGGAAGAGGGTAGATCAAGAAAATAGAACATATTAAGGTGTCAATACTCACTAGTTGTATCACAAATTAATTGCAATAATGAGGCATTTCAATTTCAGTCAAGTCCAAGACGCACATATAAGAGAGAAAAAGATGAATAAACTTATTACTGCATACCCCTAATGCTGATTTTCGTAAAGCAGATGAGCATATGTAAGAATTAACAAGTTTGTACACTATCATATCCATCGGTATCTTGACCTCGTGATAATTGGCTAACCATGGATGACCTGAAAAGAAAAGTTGGTTGTCAGCATCCAAATTTCCAACCAAAATATGAATTTATCACAGAATATGACACCCATCACACCGCCCTTGGAATAGATAGACAGTAAGAAGATCTGGATCTTCTCCATTTAACATTCAAATGGAGATTAACAGTTGCAATCTACAGAGTCCAAGAATCTCAAGGGGACTCGCATTCAGGAGGAGGCTGAAAGCATGTCACCTTTACGATCAGCAACTGGCACCCTCCATTTGAACTTCAAAGGGAGAGAACCCTCTTATAAAGAAAAAAGGCCAGAGTTGTCATTTCAGAATGTGTTTCGCAAAGGAATGACACAAGGTGGAGGAAAAATGGATAAAATCAAGTCGTCATCAAAAGTACCCCATTTTAACATAATCCTACAGTTGACAGTAAAGAAGGGCCTTAGTAATAACTTGGTGACTTACATAGAGCTTGAGCTGCAGTTAATCTCTTACGGTAGTCCTTGTTCAGGAGTCTCTTTACAAAATCTATCGCATCAGACGATAAAGAAGGCCAAGGAGCTTCATCAAAGCTCAGATCAGCCTTTAGTACAGCTCGAAAGATGCCAGACTCGGTCCGGGACCAAAAAGGTCGGCTTCCACACAAAAGGATATAAGCAATTACACCGATACTCCACATGTCTGCTTCTGTCCCATATGACCTATGTAGAACTTCAGGAGCAACGTAGTATGCACTTCCTACAATATCATTCAACCTCTCATCTGCAGAAACTTAAGCATTAGAGCCCAGTGGCCTTCAAAATTAACTAGAGTAAGATATATGCTAGGCAGTAGTCCTCAGTCCCAACCTGGTTTTACATAGTCAGAGAGTCCGAAATCAATGGCCTTCAATGGGGACTTCTCATCGCTTGAAGTAAAAAGGAAATTCTGGAGCAGAAAAATATCAAATCAGGTCAAGAAAAGAGAGAATAGGGGCATAAAATGAGGACAAATATAGCCAAATAATAAGTGTTTATCTATCACATTATTTTTCAGACCAGAAAGGATATTTCAACAATCAGTACACGAGAGTGCATATATCTGAAAAAGGAAGAAGCCTAACCAACATATGAACTAAATCGTATTAAAGGAATGGATCCAGCTAGAAAAGAATCATATGGCTTCCAGAGTTGTCAGTGATGCGGGATGTGAGATGTCTCTAAATCACATTAATAACAGTCAAGCTATAGCTGTTTCGGAATTCTAGATATTTTTCAATGAGCCAACAGTGATTGGTGACATTCAAATGCAAGATTAAAACAGGAAAAGTTATTACTACCAACACTTTTAATTACTAATTACTTTTTAAATTAATTTTAGTATATGCAGCTGCCTGAATAAGGTAGAATGAATGAACTGCTAAATATATCTTTAATGAACGAACTACCTCTGGCTTGAGGTCCCGGTGAACCACGCCTTGGAGATGACAGTAGGCAGTTACACTTAAAATCTGAACCATAACTGCCTTTGCATCATCTTCAGAATATTTTCCACCCCTAGAGAAGAGAATGAAAATTCAGCGAGTTTGAAAGAAAGATACAGAACAGGCTAGTGACTTCCCAAGAGTAAGAATTGTGTTCTTTCTTGCAGCACAAAATAAAAAACCTATTAGAGCAGGTACCTTGAAAGTATACTATCCAACAGTTCACCTCCTTTGCACAGCCTGGAACAAATGACATTGAGTAAGCTCTGAAATCTTTAGCCTAAATTGCAGCATCAAATTCCATATTTACATAAATGACACTTTACTGTAACGGTATATGATATGCAGCCAAAAACGAAAAATGAATCACCTCATAGATTCAAAATTGGCCAAGTAATGAATTTATCCTGCAGACCCATCTCTATGTTTTTCAGTGTTTTAAAAAAACTAGTTTTAAGACTCGCCTAGGAAGTTTCTTGGGTGGGGCTCTGAAGAAAACTGGGCTACAGACTAGCCTAAACGCCTAGGCGACCTGGGTGTTTGAATTTTTTTTTTTTTTTTTTTTTGAAAAATAAAAACAACCCAAACCCAAAACGACGTCGTTTTGGGCAGGGTTTTTATAAAATTCATGCTAATTTTATGTTTCTAACTTAGTTTCTATTGGTTTATTAGGACTTTATGATGTGAATTAGAGAAATAATAATAATGGTCAAATATTTGATGCTTGGCATGCTTGCTTGATTGTTTTACAAAGTATTATATAATATAATATTATTATATTAAGTATTATAGTAATTTTAGGTACCTTCCTCGAGGCTATCCATGAAACGCATTGGCTTTGCCTTTGCCTTTTAAAACATTGACGTTCTTAGAGAGCATATCTAGATTGATCAGACAGATATCTCAGTCATGTCCATATTAAAGTTAGGCTTCAATGCACCCTGATTATATAACTAAATCCAATGTTTTTGGTGTCAACAAAGACACTTTAAAGCTATGTCCAAGCTATTTTATTGGAGTTCATATGGATGCAAGTTGTCACATGTTCAACAGACAACTTTGGAAGCAAGTATGGATGCAGCCAAAAAGGAGATATTCAGGTAACCGGATCACAATCTTAAGCCAGTGAGTTTATAAACCAAAACATAGAGAATAACATAAGCCACATGCATAATGTGAAATGTAGTTTAAACGCACATTCAGAAAGTTATAGCAATCACAACTTACTCCATCACTACATAAACGTTGTCATCATCTTCATAGGCCTCGTAGAACTGCACTAGGTTCTTATGTGTTAGAGCTCTTAGGATCCTCACTTCTCTTCTTACATCCTCTATGCCAATTGCCGTGGTCATCTGCAGAAACATCCTTCATTAGAGGCTGTTCGCAGTCTAATGATGTGGAATGAAATGTGTCCTCTTAGGATCCTTACATTGTAAGAACATAACGAAAGCACCAGAGAAATTTATGAATATTTTTTCCGCGTTGAAGTTATGATAAAATGTCATTATCTATATCATGTTTTCTACTTTCCTTCACATCAAGCCAAACAATATAATGGTGCAAAGCTGCACTGGCTTCACTAAGATTGAGCACCGGTCACACACGTATGCTTATCACCTTCATATAAATCAAAAATACCATCTACAACCAGCCACTCATGGAGAGGAAGAATACAGGCATTCAACACAAAACAAAACTTCCTTTAGGACCTTACTGACATGATATATTCTATATCATAGCCAAAGGACTAACTAGTAGAAAAGTATACAATATCCTCTTGAAAGTAAAATCTAATGAACCTTTTCATCCTTAATAACCTTGCGATATTTCCAGCACAATTCAACACAGTAAAAAGTTAATCAGCGCCCGGAGATGCTAAAGATAGTGACAGAGTTCGCTAAATTTGTAATATAGGATTAGGAGGTATGGCCTAAGAACATTAACAATAGGAAATTAAGGTCATATATTTATATATTGGACAGAAGCAATACAATCAAACTTCTATCAGAAGTTCAGAACTAAGACAATTCAATTATGAAACTGCATTTGAAACAATAACCGAAAACAGAAACGAAGTTGTTCAACAACAAAAGACATAAGACATGAAATTCAGACCTTTGACTTTGGAATAACCTTGACAGCCACATCCTGGCCCTTCAAGCTTCCCTTCTTGGCCTTGGCAGAGCAAGTATACCCGAAATGCCCGCGCCCCACCTCGTCACCAAGCTCATAATGGCTTACGAACTGTTTCGAAAACCCGAAACTCTTGTCCAAGGCAACCTCACACTCACTCCCTTCAGGGATTGAGGCCTCATTGGGCTTCACAGAGCCGTGCCTCCGAGCAAGCAATGCCCGAATGTGCTTCGCCGGCGACGGAGGCGGGAAAGGCCGCTTGAATATGCGCAGAGGCGTGGAGCTGACGCTGGAGTTGGCAGGAGAGTTCTTGAACAGACTTGGCAATGGACTTGGGCTGTAAAATGGGAAGTTTGAGGATTTTGAGGACTGGGAATTGGGTGCTGCATATGCCTCGTTTTCGCTCGGAATTGTGGGGTCTTGAGATTGGAGTTGTGGGTTTTCTGTGGGTTTTCCATGACACAGTCCCATGGATTATTCAATCCCAGAACTGAATTGGTAAGAAAAACCCAGAAAGGATGTCAAATTTCCAAGGAATTTTGTAGAGCAAGAGAGAGGTGCCCAAGCAAGAAGATCGAGCCAAAGGGAGATGCCCAAGCAAGAAGATCAATCTGAGAAACTAAAAACAAAAGCAATGCAACTTTTTTGTGATGATAAAAACAATGCCTGACAGAGAGGTGAAGGATCAAACAACTCACCTGAAGGAGAAGGAAATTATAGGTGAGGAGGGGAGGGAAGTGATGGTGGGAAGCAAAAGCAAAGGGCAAGAAAACCCAGTAAAAAAATTGCAAGAAGAAGGAAGGAATGAGATGAGAGGGAAAAAAAGTGGGGAAAAAAGATGCCTACTTGAGGCAGCAAGAAAAGAAAAGGAAAAAGGAAGACCCAATGCCTCCTTTTTTCCGCTTTATGCAAGCTTTTCTGATAATGGTTTCTATGTGTACGTAGCTATAAAACTTTCACCACGGCCAAGCAACTTATATGAAATCAGTTCACTGTAGCGTTGGTAGTTTGATTATGTTATGTTATTGAAAAAAAGACCCTACGTCGACGGTTTAAGTGCTTCTGGTGGGAAGGAAGTTGCTGTTATTACTCTGGTTACAGTGAATTCTTCTTTGTATTCTTTCGTTTCGTTTCTTTTTTGTTTTATTCCTTTTTCTTTTTTCTTTTTTTTATTCTCTCAGCATCTCTCTCTGGTGTCTAATAATAATAATGAATGATAATTATGGAGGGAAGTGGGGTTTGGGTTTGGATTCTTCCAGCCTGTCGTTTTCGATCCCTCGAAACGAAGATGGATATGTTGCCTTGTATGCCTAAACGTTGTGAATTTGAGTTTGCGTGTGTGTATTTGAGCTTTTGACCGGCTTTTGCTCGCCTTTGAATGGAGAGGTTTTTTTGGATGGGGATCTTTCCGGATTCTCAAATCGTATCCATTCATTATACATCGTTCGATCAATTTTCGTTAGATACTATTCATATTTCATTTTAAATAAAAATATTTAAAATAATTTTTGATCGCACGATGTACGATAAACGGACACGATTTAAGGATTCTCGGGATCCTCACAAAGAGGACCCGGAGAGGATCCTCATTTGTTTTTTTGGTAGGTGAGTGAGAGAGAGAGAGAGAGATCAAAGTGGGGTGAGATTATGTGGTGTTCTTTGTGTCTGAGACTGAGATGTTAAAAATATTATATCGACATATAATAGTAACAAATGATATATCATTTATTCCAACTGAGATGTCAAAGCTGACATAGAAAAGAAGCTAATTTGACATGGACACAAATATGTCAAAATGAAAGCTGCCTTCAAATATGGTTTTTGAACCACCAACAACCCAACTTTTATGAGTAAGGATATTCATACCATGTTTTTATACCACCTTACCTTAGGTGGCATCTGACGTGGACAGCCACATCATTTGAAAAATTTGTAAAACCCAAGAAAATGAAGGAGAAAGACTTCTCGTATACTACAATTATAATTTAATGAACTATTTTTTTTAATTATTAGTTTATTAAATAATGAACTAAATTTAAAAATCTGATTGATTAAAATGATGTGACTATCCACATCAAATGCCACCTAAGGTGGTATGAAAATGTGGTATAAAAATATGATATGAATATCATTACTCAACTTTTATTAACATAAATGAAGCAATAACTTTTGGTATATTGGGTGGAAGAAAAATATTGACAATATGTCAAATTGCCAAGTCAGTCATCAAATTGAAATTTGATGTTTTGAATTTGACGTCTCATTTTAAGATGCTCTGAGTCCTCACAGACACGTTGTCCGATTGCCGGACTCCAAAATTTATCCTTTAAATGGGTATGTCCTTCTCATTTTATTATACATAAGTTTTCCTTTATGAAGGTTTTGTCCCAATAAACCCTAAAAGTCTCTTCTTTCTTTCTTTTGAAATATATACTAAAGAATTTAGGTGAAGAATGATACAACAGCAATATGTGCACGTAATTCATGCAACAATCAAAACTGTAACTATCAAAATCGAAGCATACACAATACAACAGAAAAGGTATAAGAGAAACCACCAAATCACAAAGTTAGCTTCCCAAAAAATATGCTGAAACTGAGTTTCTTGTTGGTAAAATGTTATGAACGATGGAGTTGAATTCCACAAGAAATGGAGCACTGGCCCATAGTTTCTTAGTATCCTTACTCTTGATTCTTTGTTAACCATACTTCCGCTTGTTGCATAACATCAAACAAATAGTTCCCATGTGTTTAGATGACGATTTTAAAAGCACTAAAGAATTTCAAAATTATGAAATTCAGATAACGGGATTTAGCTTTCTAGATATAATGAGTTTTGTTGGAACCAAATAGTACCCACTTGTTGCAAGGTGTTTGGTAGTTTCACGTGAGTGATCAAGAATGCAAAGAGTTTTTTGAATCTTCTGAGTTTGTAGTGTATTTGAGCTTCCCTTCTTTGTCATAGAACGCCGTATTTATAGGCATCTTCATGATTCTTTGTATTGAATCAATTTATTTGTCGGGCCTTGATTTATGGAATTTGTCTCCAAGAATTATCTTGACTAAAGCTTGGTTTGAACTTGATTGGATACTAATTTGAACCAAATAATTTAACTTGGTAAATTAATCAAATTATTTAATTGACATGATTTATATTTTGATTTAATTAAAGTCAACCAAATCAAATAATTTGGTAAACCAAATCAAATAACTTGGTAAATTAATCGTACGTGGATTAAATTAGATCAAAGAATTTGATTTGTTATTAACCAAATAATTTAACTTGGTAAATTTACCAAATAATTTAATTGACATGATTTATATTTTGATTTAATCAAAGTTAATTAAAAGATAATTCCTTAACTGTTTCTACCATTAACTTAATTTGGTAAATCTTTTGCATTACACCAGATGTTGACACGTATCATTTTTGATGATTCATACGGCTTTGATGAGTCATATGCAATGTGTGCAATTTGGCGAGACCCATAGTGTGTGCCGCATAAGCTATAGTAAGTCAAAATTTAATTTGTTGGTGAACATTATTTCACCAAAATTTCGATGTTTTCACACAACCACGTCAAGTCGAAGTGTGACTCCACTCTTGATGGGGTGGCATTTGTAGTGGGGGTGAGGATGAGATGGAAGCGTCGTTCCGGTGGAAGAGGCATGACGGTGGGGTGATCGTGGAAACAGTGATGGCTGCGAGTGGGAAGTGTGTGGCAGCGGCGAAAGCGACAATTTTGGGGTGGTGGTCGTGATGGAAATTGCAATAGTGGTGGTGGTGAGGATATATATATACATATATATATATGTTTATTTATATTTCTTGGTGATTCCTTGATCTCATGATGAACTAAAAAGCAAAAGAGGTTTTTCTCTCGTGCGTATTGAAAAATGATTACTACTTTTTGTTAGCTTTTGTAGTTTTTGTTGCGAGATTTAGAAATTGTATGTTTAAATCTAATATTGTGTTGCAACAATAAAGTTGCCTTACCCATGTTGCAACCAATCTAAGTTTTCATGAGCGTACAAGAAATTTTAAGATTTTTTTTACGAAACCATCAAAATTGATCTAAGTCTAGAGGGATCATGGGGGTACCATTTGATGTTTCATGGATATATGAGATGTTCCCGGGATTTTTAGAGTACAATGTATTTTTGTAAGGGTTTTTATCATAAATAATCTCTGAAATTAAGCCATCTCATCAAGATGGTCAAAATTGATCTAAGTCTAGAGGAATCATGGGGGTACCATTTGATGTTTCATGGATATATGAGATGTTCCCTGGGATTTTTAGAATACAATGTATTTTTGTAAGCGTTTTTATCATAAATGGTCTCTGAAATTGAGCCACCTCATTAAGATGGTCCCTGAAATTAAAAATCAATCAATGTAGTACCTGAAATTGGGTGTTGCAAATCAATGTGGTTTTTCTGTCACAATTCTGTCAAAAATTATGTTATCCGCATGGCACATATGTGACAGCCCGTCCCGAAATTTACCTTCGATGGCATTGGAATGACGATTTTGCCCTTGGACGTTAGTTGGTGTTTGGGTGATTTGTTTTCTTTTGTTTTGGGTTGGCTGCCATCAGGACACACACACACACCTAAACCAACCCATGGACCCTCCCTCGCGGATTTTTTTGTAAATTCCGTACAAGTCGTACAGACAACTTTCGATTCAACCATTTTCTGCACGGATCGAGACCTTGAAGGTGGATTTCATGTTCCTTGCAAGCTCCTGAGTACATCCATACCATTTTTAGAACTTGAAAACCTTAAAAACCCGAGAACCCGAGATCCTAGTTCGAGGTACTGTTTATGCATACGTAAATACAAAGATTTCATAGGAT